TAGGAATCACATGGCTGAAGCCATGGGACCAGATGCCATTATTCATGAAGATTCCTGTTCATCTTAAGGTGGCCAGTTCACCAAGGAGAGTGTAGACCATCTTCCTTTGCAGTTTTTTCCACCTGTAGTTAGAAATAATAGGCCCAGGATTCCCACGGACTTGTCCTGAATCCTGCTAAAGAGATGAAATGGCATAAATAGAACCAACCAACTCAGAGCAGATGAGGAGGAGGATCACGTGGTCCATCTAGTGCAGCTCCATCTAGGTCCATCTAGTGGGCGACACCCCACTAGGAGCTGCAGGTGTACAGAGACTGAGATGGGTCTTTGTGACAGACTTTCTAGCTCTGCTCAAGCCCCTTAACCCTCATGGATTTTATCTACAGGACCACCTGCTCAGTCACCCCCTGCATACCCACTCAAGATGGAGGCTGTCTAAGAGAAGCCTGAACTCCTCAACCATTTCCCCACCCTGGGTACCATCCCCTCATCCTCAATGCTATAGGCTTGAAAGAGGATGCCTGAGTCCTTAGGTAGGCTTTTGAAGGCTGGGGAGAGCTAGGAGGGTAGGAAGATAGGTCTGAAGAAGGTCCCAGGAAGCCAGGAGGCACAGTGGGCCCAGGAGGACAGCAGGAAGGGTGGACATCTGAATTCCTGGAGGACTTAAGAGGAACGGGAAGGAGCTCAAGTTCTGGGGAGGATGGAGAGGGGTACGGAGAGCAAGAGACAGATCTCAGAGGGCCGGCATGGGGTTCTGGGGCCCAGGAGAGGCAAGTGTCACCTATTTCCTGGGAGGCAGGCATCACTGTGACACTGTGACTCTGGCCTGCATGCCTGTCCTCCCCTAGGCCCCAACACAAGCCACTGGCCTGAGTCCAGCTGGACTGCCCCGCAGGAGTTTGTAATCCTGGGCTTCTCCGGGTGGCCCCAGGGCCTTCGGGTGCTGCTCTTTGCTCTCCTGCTGCCGCTCTACCTGGCCACCCTGGCAGGGAACCTGCTCATCCTGGTCCTGGCCCTGGTGGAGCCCGCCCTGCACACACCCATGTACTTCTTTCTGGGTGCGCTGTCCGCCGTGGAAGTGGCCTACACACTGGTGCTGACCCCGCGCATGCTGGCTGGCTTCCTCCTGCCACCCGGGGGCCAGGCTGTGGCCCCCTCCACCTGTGCTGCCCAGATGGGCCTTTTTGTGGCCCTGGGAGGTTCTGAGTGCCTGCTGCTGGCAGCCATGGCCCTGGACCGCTACTTGGCCATCTGCCGCCCTCTCTACTACCCTCAGCTCATGACCACAGGGCTCTGCTGGGGTCTCCTGGCCTCCTGCTGTGTCGGTGGCTCAGTCCTCGCCCTAGGCCTTACCACAGCCATATTCCAGCTGCCCTTCTGCCATGGCGGCCTGGTCAACCATGTCTTCTGTGACCTCCCCGCGGTGCTGGTGCTGGCCTGTGGGAACCGGGACCTGCAAGAGCACGTGCTGCTGGTGGCCTGCCTGCTGCTGCTCGTGCTGCCCCTGGTCCTGATCCTGCTGTCCTATACCAGAGTGCTGGTGGTCATCCTGGGGGTTGGGGGAACCGCAGGCCGCCGCAAGGCCTTCAACACCGTAGCGTCCCACCTCACGGTGGCTGTGCTCCACTACGGCTGTGCCACGGCCATGTATGCCCGACCCCTGAGCAGCCGGTCCCTGGAGGAGGACAAGCTGGTCTCGCTCATCTACATCAACCTCACCCCACTGTTGTATCCGGCCATCTACACGCTGCGCAACCGGGACATGCAAGGTGCCCTGCAGCGGGTGGTCAGTCAGAGGACCCCAGGGATGACCCACCAAGCTGAGTTCACCTAAAGCTGAAGGCCAGGTGGTGTCAGTCCTGAAATGTGTCCCCCCTGATGGAAATCTCGCCCTTCCAGAGCCATCTATGGCTCCCCAATGCCTACTGGACATGAACCTGAGTCTAGCACCTAAAGACCTCTAAAAACCGGACTCCACCCTAGTTGACAGTTTGAGAGCTGGTGAATTCCTCGTTGTGGAGAGATCTCCTGACAGTGCAAGATGCGCAGCAGCACCCTGGTCTCTACCCATTAAATGCCAGGAGCTTCCTCCTCCTCTTCAGATGTGATAATCAAAAATGTCATTAGAGCTGGGTGCAGCGGCTGTAATCCCAACAGCTCGGGAGACTGAGGCAGGAGGATTGAGAGTTCAAAGACAGGCTCAGCAAAAGCAAAGCACTAAGCAACTCAGTGAGACTCTGTCTCTAAATAAAATACAAAGTAGGGCTGGGGATGAGGCTCAGTGGTCTAGTGCCCCTGAGTTCAATCCCTGGTATGCCCCCTCCCCCAAAAAAGTCACTGGACACTATCAAAGGTCCCTGAGGGGCAAAGTCACTCCTGGTTGAAAACAACTGCTGGAAACTCTGGCTACACAGTATCTTTGGAAGAGAAACAGGTACTGATATATATATGAAGTTTACAGACACATTCTTGATAATAGAAAAAAAAAACTAGAGGGCTGGGGTTGTGGCTCACTGGTAGAGCGCTCGTCTAGCACATGCGAGGCCCTAGGTTCGATCCTCAGCACCACATAAAAATAAATAAATAAAGGTGTTGTGTCCAACTACAACTAAAAAATAAATATTAAAAAAAAAACTAGAAATGTTCACTAGTTATAAACTACTTGTGGCATATTCAAGCAACTGAATACTATGCAATTAATGAAAAAAAAAAATGAACTGCTACCGGCAAAACAAAAACAGCTACAATATGACATTTAAGAAGCAAGAGAAGGGGACTGGGGTTGTGGCTCGGCAGTAGAGCGCTTGCCTAGCACGTGTGAGGTCATGGAATCAATCCTCAGCACCACATAAAAGTAAATAAACAATAAATGTACTGTGTACAAAAAATATTTTTTAAAAACCCTAATAAGATAAAGGTTAAAAAAAAGAGTACAGGGCTGGGGGTGTGGCTCCATGGTAGAGTACTTGCCTAGCACATGTGAGATGCTGCATTTGATCCTCAGCATCACATAAAAGTAAATAAATAAATGTATATATAAAAAATGAGTATATACCATGTGGTTCCACCCAAAGGGCAATGACAAACTAATCCATGGTGTCTGGTGTTCAGTGTCCCAGAGTGGTGACTTGGGTTGGCAGGGGTGGGGGAAAGACTGCCTGGCACTGAAAATGTTCTGTAGCTTTTGTGGGGTGCTAATCTTACGGGAGTGTCCATGTGCAAACTCCTTTCAAGATACTGGAGATCTAGATACCTTAGTGTACAAAACAAACTTCAGCTGATTCCAGTTATTTACAAGACGAGGCCAACCTCCACACATTTTCATGCCTCTGTTCTGCTGTCTTATGTCCCTGGCATATGTACTCTTTTCTCCTGTGAAAATCTCTGTATAATGCAAGAATCAACCCAAGTACCATTTTTCCTGTGAAGGTCTGGGTACCTTTCCTTTCTTCCTCTCGGTTATTATTATTGTCGCTTTAAAATTAATTTTAGCATCTACCTCAGTTCCCACCTGCCTGACCACCCACAATTAGACTGAGATCTTTAAGGTCAGATTTTTCAGGCTCTATTCTTAGGTTGTAAGATCCCTGAACTTGGTGGTTCTTTTTTTTTTTTTAAAGAAAGAGTGAGAGAGGAGAGAGAGAGAATTTTTTAATATTTATTTTTTAGTTCTCGGCGGACACAACATCTTTGTTGGTATGTGGTGCTGAGGATCGAACCCGGGCAGCACGCATGCCAGGCGAGCGTGCTACCGCTTGAGCCACATCCCCAGCCCAACTTGGTGGTTCTTAACACTTGAAAGAGGAATAAACCATAGCAAATCTGTGTGGTTTGGGGGTTTCATATATTAAGCTCCTGAATCCTACCAAGGTCAAGAGAACCTAGCTTACACCTTCTCTGGAGTCTTTTTCTAGGATTGTTAGTGTTGGTGTGAGGATCCCGTGGACCAATGCCAAGGAGCTTTGAAAGTAACAGGTTTGGAACTTGGTATAAATAATTACATTTGGAAAACCTGATAGTCCTGATTGCACCACCAAGACCAAGATGCCAGATTCCTTTTCCTTAAGATATTACTAAGGACTACCTTTAACCTAATTATCCCCCAAAGGCCCACTTGGAATCAGAAAACTTAGAAGCAGAAGGGGCTTAGGTCAATTGCACCTCCTACCGACTGGCTGAAGAAAGTACATCTGCAAATTGACAGGGAAAACTGGTATCAGCTAGCAAGAGGGAGCTTTAAGCTCATTGACTTGAGAAGTCTGGGGAAGAGGGTCTGTCCCTACCATGCCCAGCTTTGCCTTATGCCTCCCTGGGACCTGACCCCCGTGGAATTCCTGTCCCACAGCCCCAGGGTCCTTCCCCAAGTCCCACAGCTCAAGGGAAACAATCTCTCCCAAGGAATATTGGGATAGTTACATTTTTTTTCTTTTAAGAGATTATTTTTAGGGCTGGGGATATGGCTCAAGTGGTAGCGCGCTCGCCTGGCATGCATGCAGCCCGGGTTCGATCCTCAGCACCACATACAAACAAAAATGATGTGTCCGCCAAAAACTGAAAAAAATAAATAAATATTTTTTTAAAAAGAGTTTATTTTTAAAGCAGTTTTAGGTTCGCAGCACAACTGAGAGGAAAGTACAGAGACACCCTGTACTTACTGCCCGTGCACAAGACCACAGCTTGGAATCTGGAGTCAAGGATGCCTTCTTCTGTAGGCTCCTTCAAAGACCACAGCCAATTTTCATGTTAATTGTTCTGTTTCAACTAGGACATGAACAAAGCAAATTCAAAACTAGCTCAGATGAGATGCAGTTTGGTGTTCATGGCTCAACAAGAATTCTGGGTCCTACCTTTTCCAGCTGTTCAGACTTCTGAAAGTTCTGCGTTTGAATTATCTCCGTGCAGACTCTGCCCTGTGTACCCCCACCCGCAAGCCTCATCTTCCTATAGACTTTGAAACATACAAGGTTCTGGACATACAAAAACCAGACCCACAGTGTAGCTATGGTATCAACTCACAAACTTTATTTCTGGTTTTCAGATCCTTCCACATAGCTGACATCTGGAAAACTTAGTTTCTTGAGAGCTGGATTACGCATTTAAGAGAATATTAATTTTATATTGTCCATCATTTCTAGGTGTCTACAGTGGAAGGGTTTTTATGTTAGGCAGTCCAAAAAATGCCAGAAAAGAAGCCCTAACCTTTCACATTTAATTTATAACTTTTGACTAGTTGGTTGAGAGAAATCAGAAAATGTCCTGAACTTGTTAGCTTCCAGATTCAGGAGTTCTATCATACTTCGAACAACAGGACAAATGGTAGGTGGTTACTTCTGGTGAATAAATTCATGTCAGTTATAATACATATTACAAAGACAGATGGTGTAGCTTAATATAGTAAGTCTTGGATATATACTTTTTATATTATGTGTCTATAAATTCAAAATTGTTTCTACCAATGCAACTCAAAAATAAATACTCTGTAGGTAGCACACTCAGGCACATAACCCCATGAAGCTCTAAAATTGTTCGGACACTTTTGAGATTTGCTGTTTTAGTGATTTAACTTGTTTTCATATTATAATGCTTAATAGCCATAGTTAACATAGATATCCTTTATCATTATGATTATCCTATAATAATCACTCTAAGGCCTCTTGGCCCTTCCTCTGTGCCTCTCCTGACTCAGCAGAGCCGCAGACCTGGATTGCCTGGGTCTCTGCAGCTCCAAAGCTGCTCCACACCCACATAGCTCTCCTGTCACCCTGTCACCCGTGCAGTTTCTCCCTGGTGTGGATCCTGCGGTGGCGGAGGAGGTTGGCCTTCTGAGAGAAGCTCTTGCCGCACTCCGGGCACTGGTAGGGCTTCTTGCCCAGGTGCGTGCGCTTGTGGATGATGAGGCAGGAGTTCTGCGAGAAAGCCTTGCCGCAGTCGCTGCAGCTGTAGGGCTTCTCCCCGGTGTGTGTCCTCAGATGCAGGATGAGGTGCGACTTCTGGAAGAAGGCCTTGCCGCACTCGCCGCAGCCGTAGGGCTTCTCCCCGGTGTGGATGCGGTGGTGGATGATGAGGCAGGACTTGCGGGAGAAGGTCTTGCCGCACTCGCTGCAGCCGTAGGGCTTCTCCCCGGTGTGGGAGCGGTGGTGCTCCACCAGGCGGGACTTGTGCGAGAAGGTTTTCTCACAATCCGAGCATTTGTATGGCCTCTCCTCAGCATGCAACGTATGGGGCGCAAAGAGACCTCCTTTCCGGGACACCCTTGGGCCACGACGACGGCGATCTCCTTTCGGTTTCTCTTTGGTGTGCTGTCCCCCCTTGCAAAAGACAGCCTCCTCCTTGAAACCACTCCCTGAGCTACTGTCCCCGTGGGATCTCTCCCCTCGGTGCACCTGGTGATGGACGATGAGCTGCGCCCTGCGGGAGAAGGCTTTCCCGCACCTGGTGCATACATGAGGCTTCTCGCCATGGGTTCCCTGATCTGCACCCAGGGCTGCGTCCCGGTTTAAGGCTTTTTGACACTGGGTGCAAGCCCACGGACTCTCCGCAGGGAGCGGAGTCTCCAGCTTGGAGTAGAGAAACAAGTTCCCTTGACCATCGCACTCAAACCTCCTCCGTGCAAGGTACGCACTGGGACTGAACTCCACGCTTTGCTGAAGTCTCTTTCCACATGAGTCACACGTGTGGGGCTGCTGTCTTGAGGGGACCAGGAGTGAGTTCGGGGAGTGTTTTTTTCCAAGTTCAATACATTCATGGAGCCCTTTGGTGATTAATTTTTTCCCATCTGGGACGGCAACTTGCCCCAAACGTCTGTTTTGGTGTTCCTGTCGTCTGTCTGCTTGGGCGTCAACTTGCCAAAGTTCTAGGAAAGACAAAAACAAAAAAACTTCTCATCTTTCCAGGTATCATAGTTATTGCAGCAACGTCTGGGATCATTTGGGCATCTCGAGGTCTCAGGTCAAATTTTGTGGTTTTAAGCCTAGTTGCCTAGACTAAAAAAATAAATCTAAAAACATTTTCTAGTCCCTTGGCTTTTGAAAAGAAAAAGCGAGATACTGTAAAATAGGTCTGAAATGGCCACAATACTTTGCTCTGAACGAGTCTGACTTGGCAGATTGGCAAGAGGATGCAGACACAAGAGTGAGCAAGAAAGAAACACTGCAGGCTTGAGTTGCTGACTGAGGGGTGCGACAGGGAAACAGAATCTGTAGCGTCCACCCATTTCCATGGTTAGAAACTGGCCTTGTGGGAGAGTGTTTCTAGCATGTCCTGAGGACATCACCAAATTCGGAGTTGATATTAGTCATGATGCGCTATGATAAGCCAATGCCCCCAGGTGATGGGGGACCCAAGGAGATCAGGGTACTAGGAAATACAAGGCAAGATGAAAGGCACACTAGGGTTCCCCCGGGAATGGAGAGGGGAGGTGTTTAAAGAAGGGCTTTAAGAATCTTCAGTATCAAGTTCTTCATCCTGTGTTTAAACCCTTACAAGCTTGTTTTTTCTTTTACCTGTTTAAACCACAGACTCTACCTGCCACTTCACCCCAGCACCAATGTGCACTGCAAAGATGTCACTCTTCTGTTCAGAGGTCGTGAAGTTTCAGAGCCCAGTTGCTGAATCCCTAAGAGGTAAAGATCATGGATTGCTGATGTCCCATGAGAAGTTTCCAGGGTAGGGCACAACCAGGGGTGTTTTTAAGCTTCCAAGAGGATTCCCGTGTGGATCCCGGATTAATAACAACTTCCCTGAACAAATGTTTGACAAAGATTCCTTTCCTAAAAGAATGAGGGATTCCATAACTATCCACCATCAGCTTCCTATAGAAATAAGGACAAATAAAAGCTCTTGTCCCCAAAGGATGATACTGAGGTGTCCAGGAAAAGCTGCAGTTATAATTTCTTAGGTAGAATGGGGCCATGTCACACAGTTTTGAAAGAAGAGGAAAGTAAGCATCATCTAAAAAAGGGTACCAGAGTAACTAGGCACATTAACAAAAAGTGGCATTAACTTCTAAGATCAACTCAAACCAGAAATGGAATCAGAAGAGCCAACTAGTAATTATATAGTGCAAGCTTATGATGTTTGAGAATGGTGTGCGAAGAAATAGAAAAGATGGAAGGAGATCACATGGTGGAGGCAGGACTTAGAGGATCAAAAACAGAAACCAGCAAACTAAGACTCAGAAACTCCTTGGTACCAAGTTATGAGCTAGAAGCAGAGTAGGAAAAGCCCCACTTCCCCCAAAGAAGTGTAAGGCATTAGAACAATAGCTCTGAATAGCTCTGTCACTTAATTTTCTGTTGCAGAAACAGGTGGTAAATGTGAACATATGCCTCATTCAGGTGAACACTGAGGGAGACAGTGGTGACAGAGTCATCAGTTTACCCTGAAGCACAGGAATGGCTTTCACCTGCTTGCAGTGTTAAGGACAGGGTGGGAACAAATACAGATGCTGCAAATAAGTTTTGAAGCATTTCACAGAAAGATTCACAGAAGCGTGGCACACAACAATAGCTATTTTAATACAGAGCCTACTTGAATCCCTAAACACATGAGAAAGTTTATTTTATAACCTCAGGAGAACGCACAAGACTGAAGATTCCAGAGAAAGACTGAGCAAGCGAATTTTCATGGCAGAATAAAAGGATGCACAAAAATAGAGGCAGTGTCTCTTTAAAATCTAGGGAAAGGAAAGGAGTCATGCAGTGGGGTGCAGGTAGCAGGGATCATTTGGGCATCTTGAGGTCTCAAGTCAAATGTCCACTACTTGCAATGACCCAAGACATTCACCTGGGAAAGAACATTCACCTGGGAAAAGAAAACAAAGGCTCTGCTTTGTAACCGCCTGGAGCCCAACTCCCAGGGTCCCCCTGCAGGCTGTCTCCTCACCTGGAGATCTCCACCTGCGCATCTCCTCCTTCCCCGCCCATGGCTCTGTCCCCTGCTCCAGCCTGGAGATCACAGCTGGTTTGCTGACTTGACACCCTGCTTAAGAGATATAGTTACAGGATCTGTGCTGAGTTACGTGGAGCTACTCAGCAAGCAAACGGTTCGGGCCACCCACTGAACACTGACTTCTCAGCCAAAGAACAGACATTCCACTTGGGAGGTGACTTCAAATCACAGTCATCCCTTGGTGTCTAGCTGCAAGAAATTGGCTCAGGACATCCCCTTGAGATACCCAAATCCCTGATTTTCCAGTCCCTTATATAAAATGGCATAGCATTTACATATAACTTACATCCTATGTACTTTGAATCATTGCTAGGTGACTTATAATACCTGATGCTACGTAAGTAGCTGTTGTATTATTTAGGGAATAATGACAAGCTGCGCCCTTCAACATCCACGGTTGCTTGACTCTGCAGATACAGCAGGCTGACTGGACACACGGTAAGGTCAAGACACTCTACCAAAGCCCAAGGAAAAGCACTCAGGGGGTTTACTGTTTCACATAACTGGGAAAGGAAAGGTGTTCAGACATAATGTGAAGACCAGGGAAAGCCTTCCTCACCCACAGAGACCAGGTGGCTGTAGGTCTCCAGCATCACCTCCTGGTACAGGATCCTCTGCGCAGGGTCCAACCACTGCCACTCCTTCCGCGTGAAGCCCACAGCCACATCCCCAAATGACAGTGACCCCTGGAACAGCACGTGCCGGGTTAACATGGAGTGGTCAGCACTGAGTATAGGCTGCAAAGGGGAGGGAGGTTGATCTCACTTGGTCACAGGCCAGGTTTCCCCAGGTTACCTTATCTAGGAGGCTGAGCACACCCCTCACCTTGAACTACCCTTTGTGGGGGAGAGAAAAGATCATTTAAAAAGTTCTCACTGTGGGCTGGGCGTGGTGGCACATGCCTATAATCCCAAAGGCTCAGGAGGCTGAGGCAGGAGGATCGCAAATTCAAAGCCAGCCTCAGCAAAAACGAAGTGCTAAGCAACTGGATGAGACTCTGTCTCTAAATAAAATGCAAAATAGGGCTGGGGGTATGGCTCAGTGGTTGGGTTCCCCTGAGTCAACCCCAGTATCACCCCCCCCCAAAAAGGGGTCTCCATTCCCTCCTCCAGTGGTCCTGCTAAGCTATGGTGCTCCACTGGGGTTTGGCGCTGAGAGGTGGAACACAGCACTGCCGGGATCTAAAGGTGCCCAGAGTGTGCTGGGATGAGATGAACCACAAAGACAGCAGCAGAGAAGATTACAATGAAAGATATGCTTTCATTATTTCTGAGCCAGCAATGAAATTTGATGAACTGATATCAGATTCAGCTGCACAGGAAATCACATCTGAGCAGTCATGAAAGTCAACGGGGCTCTGGTATCTGAAGGATATTCCTGTCGAGAGGACTGGCACCAGCAAAGGGGTCACAGGAAAGTCTGGCAGGGACCACAAAGAGTTGATGACAGAGTGGAAGGGGTGTACTGCACAAGCTATTCGCAGGACAAATTAAGGTCCTCCCCCCACCTTGAGGCAATGGAGACTCCTATTTAAGGAAAGGAACCACACACAAAAAAAATTGGAACAAAATAAAGAGGCACTGGGAAGAAGAATGAGGAAATAAATGAGAGCACAATTCTAATCATCAATATATAATGAGAGGTAAAAATTAAAGCTGCAGCAAGAGGAAACAGAAGAAGGATCCACAGATGCTGAATGGGACTCACCACCTCCCATCACCATGAATAAAAACCTGAATTTAAAATTTTTAATTTTGGGCTGGGAATGTGGCTCAGGCGGTAGCGCGCTCGTCTGGCATGCGTGCGGCCCGGGTTCGATCCTCAGCACCACATACCAACAAAGATGTTGTGTCCCCCGAGAACTAAGAAATAAATATTAAAAATTCTCTCTCTCTCTCTCTCTCTCTCTCTCTCTCTCTCTCTCTCTCTCTCTCTCTCTCTCCTCTCCTCTCTCACTCTCTCTTTCAAAAAATAAAAATTAAAAATAAAAAATAAATAAAATTTTTAATTTTTACTAATTAGAAGAAAGGGTAAGATTTGTGGAATGGAGATAAGGGTTTAAGTCACAAAAGGCAAAGATCAAAAAGGAAAAGGTCCATAGTGAGGATTTTTTAAATGATCTTTTCTCTCCCCCACAAAGGGTAGTTCAAGGTGAAAGGTGTGCTAAGCCGCCTAGAATACACAACCAGTGTAACTCCACATCATGGACAACTACAAGAATGGGAAGTCATACTCCATGTATGTATAAGATGTCAAAATACACTCTGTTGTCATGTATATCTAAAAAGAACAAATTTAAGCTGGGTGTGGTGGTACACACCTGTAATCCCCATGACTCAGGAGGCTGAGACAGGAGGATCACAAGTTTAAAGCTAGCCTCAGCAATGGCAAGGTACTTAGCAACTCAGTGAGACCATATCTCTAAATAAAGTACAAAAATAGGGCTGGGGATATGGCTCAATAGTTGAGTTTCCCTGAGTTCAATCCCTGGTACCAATAAATAAATAAAATGAAAAGGAACAAATTTAATCAGGTGTAATGGTGCACACCTATAATCCCAGTGCTAGGGAGGCTGAGGCAGGAGGATTGAGAGTTCAAAGCCATCCTCAGCAAAAGTGAGGTGCTGAGCAACTCAGTGAGACCCTGTCTCTAAATAAAATACAAAATAGGGCTGGGATGTGGCTCAGTGGTCAAGTGCCTGTGACTTCAGTCCCCAGTACCCAAAAATAAAAAGAACAAATTTTGAAAAGGAAAAGGTAGGCAATTTTACCTATATTTTCATTCATTCAGATGCCACTTTCACGAAAATTAAAAGCAAAAAGCCCAGAGAAATTTTCAAGAGCATAACTGACCCTGCTGTGAACTCTCAGACAGCAATAAGAAACAAACAAAGCACTCCATGGACATCGACCTGGAGGGTGGGACAGCCATTCACAGGAGGAGAAGAAAGTAAACTGAAATGGGCTCATAGGAACTAATCAGAAAAAATGAAAATTGAAACATAAACACCAAGGGCTGGGGTTGTGGCTCAGCGGTAAGGTGCTAGCACGTGGGAGGTGCAAGGTCCTAGGTTCGATCCTCAGCATCATGTAAAAAACAAATAAATAAGATAAAGGTATTGTGTCCAACTACAACTAAAAAAAAAAAATTAAAAAGTAAAAAACAAAAAACAAAACAAAACCAAAAAAACACCAAAACCTCTATGCACAGCCATCTTATCAGTGAATACTTAAACTTTGTCCCAAAGGTTTCAAGGCATTTCACACTGAAAGAATTAAAGGATGCAGAGAAAAAAGAATCAGGTGGGAGCATAGAGTGGCACTGGGCCACTTCTGCTTCTATGCAAATCCACCAGCAAACAGGACAGTCATTGCCCAGAGCAAATGGAACAAAAGATGACAGTAGTGTCATTGTTTGTGACAACAAAAGAGAAGACAGTCACCCAGTCTATAGAGGCTGGGATGAATGGACCCGATCTTTACCATTTCTACAGATCACTTACAGATATGTACAAATGCAATTAAAATATTTAAAACATGGGCAGGAAAATATCAAATTCGCAGATGTGTCTCTGGGAAAGAAGGGGAATGTGGAAAGGAAAAGGAAACATGGTGTATGTTGAGGGGACTAGCGTGGGCTAAGTGCACAGCTCCAGAGGCAGCATGCTGGGGTTTGAATCCCAGCCCTGGCACATGCCAGCTTTGTGATCTTATGCAAATTACATTCCCTCTCTGAGCCTCAATTTCTTAATTTGCAAAATGGGAACCCTGGAAGTATTCTACCTTTGTAGAATGCTACTGAGTCAAAACACACAAAATACTTATTGCAGAGGTCTACGGTGGTGTTATTCATGTTGTCAAAAGATCTGAAAAGATACAAAAGATCTGAAAGCAACATGACAAAATGTTAACATTTACTTAACATTTATTCATTGTGAGTGACAGGAATAATGTCTCTTGGTTTTTGTTTTGTTTTGTTTTTTTAAGTGCTGGGGATTGAACCCAAGGGCCTCACCCATCACATAGGAGGTAAGTGCTCTACCACTGAGCCACACCCTCAGCCTGGGTCTCTTCATATATTACCCTTACATTTTTTTTCTTAATTTTTCAAGATTAAAAAAAAATCTCTGCTCAACCACTGCTATAGTTTCCCCCCAAAATGCTGAAGAACAGCAAACCTATTTTAAGAAAACAGAATACTAAAGGAGCCCCCCTCCAGTACACAGAAGACCACAGGAAGTTTCAGGAACTATCCTGTCCCTGTATTTGGGAAAGGATAGACAAATCTTCAGAAACAGACCAAGAGCTCTGTGGGAATTTAACAAGTGACAGAGAATACATTTAAATTTTAAATGTAAGTTAAAAATGCAGGTGCTTTGGGCTGGGGTTGGAGCTCAGTGGTAGAGCACTTGCCTAGCATGAGTGAGGCACTGGGTTCAATTCTCTGCACAGCATATAAATAAAGATCCATCAACGGCTTTAAAAAAAGTTGTTGTTGTTATTTTTTAATTGCAGGTGTTCAGTCTTGTGCTGTGGCCCTGGGCATCCAGGAAAAATCAAGTTAGGTGTCCAACTCTTGGCTAAAAGAAATCTAAGCTGGGTTAGGATTTAGACATCAAAAAAGAGGAAATGGCACCAATATATTGCTCAGGGGATTCTGATATGGCCACATGACAAATGGGACTTCACACTGATAACACCTATGAAGAAGAGCGAGTTTGAGGCTTTCCTCATGATGGCAAGTGGGAGGATGTTGGCAAGAGATAGCTGAGGAGTGTGCGGCTCCTGGGCAGAGATGAAGGATGTGCAGGCTTATGTAGGCAAATGGGGGCTGAGGTGTCCCCCACAGTGGGCCAAGCAGGAGCAGAAAGAGATGAGGGGAGAGTGACCCAGAAAGGAGAGTGGAGCCCCGACCACATCAAGAGCCACCATGGTCTTGTGACAATGCCCAGATTTCTAGAAAACTTACAACCAAGGGTGAACCGCTGAAGCCAGTGACCTTGGAAATCAACACTCACTTATCACACACTTATCACAACACTCACTTAAACCTGTACTGCCTGACAGAAATATCACAAGTTGAAAATTTTCTAGTAGTCATTTGCCTAAAAAATAACAAGAAATGGGTGAAACTGTTATTTAACTCAATATGTCCAAAATATAATCGTGTATTACACCATCATTTAAAAGTCACAGAGACATTTTTCATTGTTTTTCACACATCTTCAAAAGTCTAATGTGTATTTTACACCTATAGCACATCCCAATTAAGCCACCATTAAATGGTTAAGATAAAATACAATACTGTCAAAATGATGCTGCTGTGTTTAACAGAAAAATATTTTCCTTTTGTCTGGATTTAAAATTTGAATGTAAGTTAAAAATGCAGGTGCTCAGTGGCCCCTCATGGCTAGTGGCCACCAGGCGGGACAGTATGGTCTGGACTAGTCGATACTACTGAATTCCTTTGCTGAGCACATGGTACCCGAAGTGAAACTACAGTTCAAGTCAACCACTTAGGGCCCAGTTCTACAGTCTGTCTGCATTCAGACTCCATCCCCACCACCTAAAAGACACCAGACTTTGATTAACTAGGCAACTTGATTAACTATCTCCGGCCTCAGTCTGCTCACCTGTAAGATGGGAAGAGGGGCTACATGAAGGATCTCTCTCATACATTTATTCATGAAATCATGTCAAAATAGTAGAGTGGAACGGATGTGCTCAACTGACAATTTTATAACTTTTTTAAAAATTTGAGATGGGGTCTGACTATGTTGCCCAGGATGGCCCCAAATTCCTGGGCTCAAGGGATCCTCCCGCCTCAGCCTCCCAAGTATCTGGGATGAGAGGTGGGCCACCATACATAGGATAAGTTTTATAGATTTTATTGTTACCATCTTCACTCTAGATTCTCTCAACAGGGAGACACTCTCAGTGAGACTTGGTTTCCCACAAACATTAGCTTCTAAGACACACAGCCCACACCACCCCTCCAAGGCTTCCCATACAGCTGGAGTTGGCTCTCTCCTAGGAAGATTCGCAGCCCTACTTCCCTGTTCTCAATGCTTCTGGCTTCAAACAGCCCCAAGCTTCCGCACAGACACAGAAAACAAGACCCTGGGAAGGTTTTACTCCCTGGAGTGGATGGCTGCATCCTTTGTTCTTGGGACTTTGTCTTTCTCTGGGGCTCGCCTTCTCCTTCCCACCCCATGCAGGAGACTTAGCCCTTCTCTGTGGCAGCTTGTCTACAGGAGGTGGGGACACTGTGGCCACAGTGTCTGGCTGCATGGATGAAGTCAGTATGGGAGCAGAAAATCAAAGAAGCAAGGCCAAGGAACAAGAAAACCTCCAACGGTGTGTGGGTTCCTGAAGCAGTGGTTTGTGGGCCCCACTACAGACCCTCTGCAGATCAGGGGCTGCCTGTGGATTCAGGTGTGTTCTAGGTGGGCTCCAGCTCCTGCAACTTTAAGGACTCTGACTGGTGCTTTTCACATTCATGAACTTTTCACATTCATGCCTTTTAGGAAGACAAACTGCTAAACAATATCACCTAACAACAAGAGGAAAAGGACTCAGAGGAGGCCAAGAACAGATGATGAGGACTGAGCCCCAAGGAGAGAGAGGAGGCCAGATCCCAGACTGTCTTCCCTCTACGTCTCTGTCGAAGACTGGAACTTTGAGCCATTCCCTCTCCATCTGTCAAAAGTTATTATGGAAAATAATTTGAAGAACAGACGATTTGTTTGCCCATTCCTCTAGCTAATGGGGTGTCTGTCCAGGTCAGCTGCTTCTGTGGACCCACACCGTTCAGTCCCTGAACAGCTGTGATTGCAAACATCTTCCTCCACCCACACACTCAGCTGCTGATCTCGGGGAAGTCGGGAGAGCTCTGCCATCATGTTCATTTCCAGGTTATAACTTGGAAAACTTTCTGCTACATCTCACATATGAAGATCCATCAAATACATCAAAATACATGCCTAAACGTTATTTCCCGAGAAGATGACATACTTATCCCAAACAGACAACACAAATCCTGTATTGAACCAAGTCAGCCTTTTTAATAATGTTACAGAAATGTCAACGTACATTGACAAGACGCCATGTCACGCTGACAACCTCCGCAGTGTATCTCCCCTGCTCTCCCCAGGGCCTTGAGCGATCATTCGCTTCCTATTCTCACAGATCCTGGCTTCTGCTGCGTTCTTTTTTGATTGGGTGCATTCTTCAAGATCCTGAAATCCCTGGTGAAATGAAGCCCAGTCCCAAGAAATGCCACACTCACCTGGGACATGATCCTTCCCTGAAGTCCTAGGCAAGGAGGCACCTGTGAGGCAGACATTGGGGTGGGGAGAAGATGACATGAGGAGCCAAGTTGGCCTCGGGCCTCCACTTTCCTGTGTGTTCACCCCAGGCTTCTGTGAAGCAGCCCCATAATCACAGCGAAACCCTTGCTTTAGAAATGGAACCAATCTTGTAAAGCTTGGTTTTGCTTTATTTTGCAGTACTGGGGATTGAACCCAGCCGGGGTTGCTCTACCACTGAGCTACACCCCAACTCTTTTTATTATTTATTCTGAGACAGGGTCTTGCTTAAATCACTCAGGCTAGCCTCAAACTAGCAATGCTCCTGCCTCAGCCCTTCAGAGTCACTGGGATTTCAGATATGCACCACCACACCCAGCAAGGCTTGGTGTTTCAATGAATATATACATTTGTGTCTCAGTAATCGATGTGCAATTTACTATAACCCTCTACTCCCCAGAAATTTTCTTAACAGAAAATTTTCTGAAGGACCACTCATGAGTTTGGGCAAAGATTTAGCTGCTGAGATTACAATTTGGTAAAACTTGGAAGAAAATAGCATCCAAATATAGAAGACTTGCTAAATAACTACATTTATTATATAGCTAATAAAAACAAAATCACACACACAAAAAAACTATCAGTAACATGCTGATAACTGAAAAAGGGGTTTGAAAACTATTTGAACCAGAAATCACACACAGGATTCAATCTCTGAAATGACCTAAGATAAAAGATAAAATGGTCGTAGTCATTAGCTTTGGGGAATAGATGATTTTTTTTGTTTGTTTTTGTACTAGGGATTGAACGCAGGGGCGCTTAACCACTGAGCCCTTTTAATTATGAGACAAGGTCTTTTGCTAAATTGCTTAGGGCCCTGCTAAATTGCAGAGGCTGGTGGTGAATTTGTGATTTTCCTGCCTCCCAGCCTCCTGAGTCCCAGGGATTATGGGCATTTACTACAACACTTGGCTAGATAATGATCACTTTAACATTTGTTTCTTTATACTTAGATGACTTTTCTAGGCTTTTCTACCACAAATAGGCATTTCAGATATGATGTTTTTTAAAAGATCGTGTTTTGTTTTGCAGTGCTGGGGATCAAACCCAGACCCCCCCACACACACATGCTAAGGAGGCCTCTGCACACTTCCAGCCCCCTGGTGTTATTTTCTAAATATCTGTAGGCTACTAATCTTCTAGTCCAAAGCTTCTATCATCAGTTCTGCCCTTAGAGTTGAGGAAATCCACAGGAAAATATAAAAATGGGCTTCTGGAGGCAGAGTTCATTAAAGGGAGCTTATGAACTGCGCCATTCAATCCCTGCTAAATTTGGTTTGTTTGCCCTGGTCGGGCTCTGACACCTACAATTCACTTGGGGTGATTTTACTGGCTCTTGCATCCTCCTGCCTGTCTCCTTGTTTCCCAAGAATCAGGAGCACAAAGGCAGAGGAACAAATGCACCTTTGTTGGAAGCACTGGCCTGACCTCCCCCATCACTCCCCTGAGCAGACTTGGCCTTGGTCTTAGAAGTGTCTCCCCAGAGTCAGCAAGCTCACCTGGGGGCTCAGTTCCTGAGTTGATCCAGGAATTCAGGAGAGACACTAAAACCCTTCAGAATTATGGTAACTCTATAAATAATCCTGAAAGTATTTTTCAAAAATTAGAGACTATCTACCATCTTGAAAATAGAGGTTGATTAATAATTATGATTCAGTTAAAGCATGCCACGTTATGAATCCATTTAAAATATTATAGAAAATGAATTTAACATGGAAAGATCTTCCAGCAATATTAGTAAGGTGAAAAAAGCAGGATCTATGAGTGTGATCCACAGAGGGTAACAGGAGGTGGGTGGAATTTTCCCAGAGGCTTTGGAATTTTAGCTTAATCCTAAACACCCCAAATTCTGGGGAGCTGCTAGATATACCCTAACAAATTCCTACCTTTAGGAGAGGGACATGACAAAAGAAGTGTCCATCCCTCCCAAGCATAGAGTAGGAGCTCCAAGAGAAGCAGGCAAGAAGTCCCTGATGGTGCCTGAGAGAAAGGCAAGAGAGCTGGCCCTACTGGGGAAACTCATAGGCACACTGTGGGTCACTAGAGGGTTCTTGTGCAAGCCTGGGGCCTGGGTAAATCCGGGATCAGAAACCAGCTTCAGAGCTGAAGGATTCAGAAGCCAGAAGCCGGCCATGGCCACTGGCAGCAACCTGGTGAGTAGTTAATGGATGGTAGAAGGGGGTCACCTGCACTCCCAACATTTGCTAAAATAGGAATGTCAGGGTCTCCTGGGCACCAAGAGGACTCAGGGAAGCTGAGTGGGCTTGAGATTTATGGCACAGAAGTCAGAGTGAGGACAGCCACCCAGATTTGTGAGGAACACTGAGGCAGGAGCTTTGGGGCAGTGCACAGAGCTCTGAGAACACCCCCCAAAATACCACCATCTGGCCTCCTGCCAACACCCTGATCTTGAACTTCAGCCTCCACAACCGTGACACAACATGTTTCTGTTGGTTTATCAACCCAGTTTATGGTACTTTCTTATCACTACCCTAGAAAACTGATACAGGAAGACAGACCCACACTGATGTGGGTTAAAACCAGTAGCCTGTCCTGTTTTCTGTTTGTATATATCAACTTCAGCACATTAAACATAAAAGAAAAAGTCTGATGAAAATGTTCACTATGGTTATCTTTCTTTGAATATTTATTTTTTAGTTTTAGGTGGACACAGTATCATTATTTTATTTTTACGTGGTGCTGAGGATCAAACCCAGTGCCTCCTGCATGCTAGGCAAGCACTGTACCACTGAACCACATCCCCAGCCCCTGTGGTTATTTTTGCATGGTGAGATTTTCTTTTTATTAAGCAGTGGCATTTTCTAATTTTTTAAACAATAACACATGCTCATTGTTTAATATTTAAATATTTCATATCACGCATTCATCATATTACTGTATTTTCTTCCCATGAGCCTACCACAGCCCTTCCACAGGAGGAAAGGAACCCACAAGAAGGGATGAAGGGGTAAGTTTTATCAATGAGTAGCGGGAAGATGGAAGCAGCCCCTGCATGGCCACAGGAGCCCTGGTCACCTGGTCACCAGGGTTGGCTCAGCTGCTAGAGAGCATGTGGGCTCTCTCCCACCCACTTCCTCTAGTCTTTAACATGAGAAGGAAAAACAAAAATATTCTCTGGTTAAGAAAGCAACCATTAGCCAGATGAGGTGGCACACACCTGTAATCCCAGCAGCCAGGGAGGCTGAGGCAGGAGGATCACAAGTTCAAAGCCAGCCTCAGCAAAAACGAGGTGAGACCCTGTCTCTAATAAGAGACGTGGCTCAGTGGTCTAGTGCCCCTGAATTCAATCCCCAGTACCCACAAAAGAAAACAACCAATATGCCGTGACCACAGTTTAAGAGGGGGACATACATGGAAGTAACAGTAACATGGGCAGAACTAAAGTCTCACCACACAGAAGGAAGAAGTGAAGGTCACCTCATGGGAGTTTAAAGATGGCCGTGACTGGAGGTCTTCCTCCAAGTGTCGGGAGATCCCCCTAAATCCTCCACTAAATCCTTGAAGGCTCTTTGATGTGAGGGTATCACCCCAATGGCACTGTCCCCAAGGATCAGGGTTGTTTCAGGCACAGATAGACGCTGCCTTCTACTGACACCCTCCACCTGCAGCCCTGAGCTACACAGAGACACCTCAGAATAGGGACCTTGCTTTTTAAAATTTTTTTTTATGTTGATGGACCTTTATTTTATTCATTTATTTATAGGTGGTGCTCAGAATCGAACCCAGGGCCTCACACATGCCAGGCAAGCACTCTATCACTGAGCCACAACCCCAGCCCTGGGATCTTGCTTTTTAAAGAGGATTCTTGCTTTCCAGTCATCTTCTTTACTGAGAATTATTTTGTCCCTAGGATGCAAGGGCACTCGGTTGCCAGAGCTCTGCTTGCTGGAGGAGCACTTACCTTCTGTGGGAGGCTCAGCTTCGGCCTCTGAACCTCTCTGGAGGAGAAGAAATGGGTCGGTGCAGGAAGGAGGGAGCCTGAAGTCTGACCCTAAGCCTTGGCCAAGACACTAAAGGAAAGAAAACGACACAATGAGGCTCCTGTGAGAACATCAGCAGGGCCCTTTCCATCCCAGCTGCAGGCAGAAGGAGATGCCAGAAAGACTGGGCGCACAGAGGAGTCTGAGCTCCTTTTCTGGCTTTGCAAATGGAGGGGCCTCATGAGAGAGAAAGCAGGTGGCTGGAAGGAGCTAAAAGAGGGCCCTGCTATCATCCAGCAAGGAAGTGGGGACCTGAGTCCTAAAACCCAACCCTGCCAACCACCTGAATATACTGGGAGGCAGATTCTTCCCCAGAGCCTCTGCATAATAGCCCACCAACACCTTGCTTTTGGCCTTGTGGCACTGGGTGTAGAGCCCAGCCAGATGCACCTGAACTTCCCACCTGCAGAACTCGAAGACAGGTATTGATCACTCCATCGGTGGAAATGTGTTCCACAGTAATAGATAACTAACACTTGCTCGCCTCTAATGGGTGCTCACAAGAAAGCTTAGGGTTGAGAGAAAGACCAGATACACCCCTTGAGAGTGAGGATCTGGGGGAAGGCATGGCTGCCCGGGAAGGAACTTCAGGAAGCCATCCAGAATGTTCTGGGGAACAGAAGCAGAAGCTGCTAGGGGAGGGTAATAAACCCTTATGATCCCAGAGCATGGTAAAGCCTACGGCATTTTGCCATGGCAGAGAGGCAGAAATGTGTTCTGGGCTCAAGCTTAGGGGTCTCCCACCTCTAGAAAAAGAGGAGGATCCCTGAGACTCCAGGACCCACCTAAAACTGCCCTTCCCCACCAGGCTGGGAGGCTCTGAGAAGTAAGCAACAGCCATCAATAGCAGGATCCAGTCAAGAGGGGATGACTCCGCTTGAAGCGCAAAGTGATGCTACAGAATTATGAGATAAGAGGTCCATTGCAGGTAACTATAGCAACAACAAACCTACCACCCACTCCAATGCTAACTGGATGGGGCTCAATCATCGTCCTGACTTCCCAGCTCCACATGCAACGACAGCCCAACAGAACTGAGCCCATGTCCAGTCTCTTCTGTCCCACACAACATCTAAGCAAGCCTTCAAGAGAAAAAGATGAGATGTGCAAAGAGTGAGAAAAAAACAATACCCTGTAGAGAGACAGAGTAATGAACAGATGCTAACTCCACCTCACAGCTGTATGCAGATATATATATAATGGAAGTGCATGGCAAAGGTCACATAAAACAAAAAAAGACCAGGGAAACTGACAAACCATCACAGCAAAGGATTTTTTTTTAGTTATAGTTGAGCACAACACCTTTACTCTATTTGTTTATTTTTATGTGGTGCTAAGGATCAAACCCAGCACCCCCCACATGTTAGGCAAGTGCTCTACTGCTGAGCCACAACCACAGCCCACAGCAAAGGATCTTAACACCCAGTTTTGGAAAATAAGATCTAGAATGAAAAAAAATAGGAAAAATAGCATACAGAAGACATTGATAACAATTTAGAAACCCAATTATTGAATATAGACAGAAAAATGTTCTCAACATTAGAGAATACACATTCTGTTAGACACATGTGGAATGTATGTGGAATATTTATAAAAACTAACAAGCTAAAAAATCAAGCCTCAACAAATATCAAAAGAAACTCAATATTACATAGATCTGATGCAGAGATCTATAAAATTAGAAAAAATGCAAAAAAAACTATTTAAATTGTTAAACATCAAGTGAAATGGATCCATTGTCAAAAATATACCCATTATGGAGCTGAAGCTGTGGCTCAGTGGTAGAGTGCTTGCCTAGCATGTGTGAGGCACTGGTTTCCATCCTAGCACCACATAAAAAATTTTTTTTAAAAAAGGCATTCTGTCCATCTACAATTACAAAAAAAATTTTTTAAATATACCCATTGAAAGAAACACCAAGTCCACATTTTTAAAAATTTTATCAAATTCTACTTAAAATTTTTGTAATATGCATATATAGTTCATTTGAGGTATTTGTAAATTTTAGTAATTTACATTTTTCTAGACTATTGTCCCACTTACTTTTGAATTTATGGTATTAAATAATTAAAAGTAATCTCTTAAAATTAGAAAAAAATGTTTCTGAGATGGTCTTTTTCATGTCCAGAAATGGTTTATTTTTGCCTTCCCTTGATCAACTGAGCCCCAAACTCCTCTAAATTATTAGTTTTAAATAGAAGCTAAACATTTTATTAATTTTAACAAATCCTTTTCCAAGAACTGACCTTTTTTAAATTTTTTTTATTTGAACACAACTTTTAACTTTAAGTCTTGAGACTCATATCAAAAATCCCTGAATCTCTTCATCTAGATGTTCCAATATTAACATCTTACCACATTTGTGTAGCGGGTAAAGAAATTTTTCTCAGGGCTGATGGAGGAAGAAGATTCCACCATGAGGTGGCAGAGCACACATTAGATAAGTGAGGCTCTGCCACCTCACACTGAGCCTTCCAGGTCTCTGGCATGGGGATAGGGTAAGGCTGCTCCTGGGTATCTCCGAGTCACAGCCACTTGGGGTCTTGATAACCAGATGGTTTTACGTAACTATGGAAAACAGATGTTGACTGCCATTGAGTTAAGATATCTCAGCCTGCTGAGAAGAAATGAATAATGAAGGGGTCACTACATGGACACCATGGTGGACTCATTCACATAACAATTTACTTCATCCTTCTTTTCGTCTTTCCTCTATCTTTCAGATAGGAAATCTCTATTTGAAATAGGTAGAGGAAATCTAGATATTAGGTAGAGGAAATCTCTATCTAACAATTAGAGATTTCCTCTAATTTCCTCTACCTATCTAACAATCTCTTTCAGAACACTGACATTTTTAAGAGTTACAAACCAGTTATCTTATAATGATGTTGTTCTTCGGTTTAGATTTTTTATAAATGGAGAAGGGTGTAAGTAAATGTGAAATTCCACAAAATCAAGAATATTTTGTCATACACCACAGTATTGTCATAAGAAATCAGGAAAATCAGGAATCCAACACCATGGTCAAGCCCACAGCCTTTATTTACATTATACTTGTCCCAGTAATATCCTTTCTGGATTTCATATATTCACCGCTTTCTTTTTCATGCCTCTCCTAGAGTCCAGAACAATTTCCTCAATCTCTTTCAGAACACTGACATTTTTAAGAGTTACAAACCAATTATTTTATAATTATGTTGTTCTTCAATTTAGATTTTTTTAAATGTTTCATCATGATTTGATTCAGGTAATATGTTGACAGCATGAACTTTTTTTTTTGTACCAGCTCTATTATTTCTTTGATTCTTTCTTTGAAAAATTCTGTTGGGTGTGGTGGTGCATTCCTGTAATCCCAGTTGCTCTGGAGGTTGAAACAGGAGGATCAAAGTTTGAGACCTGCCTGGGCAACTTAGTGACACCCTGTCTGGAAAAGAAATAAAAAGGCCTGGAGGTGTAGCTCAGTGGTAGAGTTCTTGCCCAGCACAGCGAGGTCCTATTCAATCCCTAATGTTATGGGGTAGGGGAAAGAAGGAGGAAAAAAAATCGGCTTATGTTTTGTTTTTTTTTTTTTAATTCTTTTGGGGTTTACTTTTTTTCTAGGTAATCCTCCTAAGTTGAATGCCATTAATTTTCGGTCTATTTATTTAATTTTATTTTTTGTAGTGCTGGGGATAGAACCCAGGACCTTGTGCATGCTAGGCAAGCACTACATCTCTGAGCTACATCCATAGCCTTTTTTCTTTTCTGTTTTTGTTGTTGTTGTTGTTTGCTTGTTTGTTTGTTTGTTTGTTTAATGCTGAGGGTCTTTGCTAAGTTGCTGAGGCTGTTCTGAACTTGTAATTGTCCTTCCTCGGTTTCCCAGGTAGCTGGGATTACAGAAGGGCATTACTATACCCTGTTTCTCTCAGTCTTTTTATTTAATGTATATCTTAGGACCATAAGAAGTTAAAAAGAAAAGTACCACAATAAATTATTGGGAAATTTTTTAAATATTTTTTTAGTTGTAGTTGGACACAATACCTTTATTTTATTTTATTTACTTTTATTTGATACTGAGGATTGAACCCAGGGTCTTGCACGTGCTAGATGAGTGCTCTGCCATTGAGCCACAACTCCAGCTCCAATTATTCAGAAATTTTATGAAAATTAATAAAATAATTGGTTTGAATTTAAAACTATGGGCTGAGGATGTGGTTCAGTGATTAAGCACCCCTGGGTTCAATCCCTGGTATAAAAAAGTGTATGTTTTTTCATTCATTATTCTCCTATATTCATCTATGAATGCATGACCAGTGTAACTCCACATCATATACAACCAGAAGAATGGGAAGTTATACTCCATGTATATATAATATGTCAGAATACATTCTACTGTCATGTATAGCTAAAAAGAATTAAAAACTTAAAAACTAATAAAATGTACACAGTTCAGACACAACCAATCAAAAGAAGAAGAAAACCACAAAAAATAAACAATTTCATAAATAGTAATTTTTTAATTATAAGAAATTACCATAAAATTTAACACCATAGATTAAAATTAAGTGGGACAATAGTCTAGAAAAATAAAAATTACTCAAATCAACTGATGAAGAAACAGGAAACCAGAATAAACTACTAAACATTAAATGAAATGGATTTATACTTACTCAAAAGTACACCAAATAACGTCAGAAGTTTTATCAAATTCTATTCAAGATTTTTACAAAGTGTATAAGCCAAAATGGATTTATGCCTAAAACATATGAAGAAATACTAAAATCAAATAAGAAAAAGACAACCGATATAGGCAAAAGTGTTCAACACACAAAATAATCCTATGTATTGTTTCTGGCTACCATTCATACCTAGGATGTAAACAAAGCATAGAAGGATACATTGAAATTTTAGGACTGGTCATCTTTTAGTGAGTGGAAGAATGCCAAAATGCTGTGATAGTGTTTATAAGATTTTAATTCCTTAGAATATCTAAAGCAAATAGACACTTGCTCAATCTAGAATCATACATAGTTCTTGTTCTTTCCCCTCTCCCCCCCTCCACATCCCGCCCCAGCTCAAACCTGTTTGTCCTAAAAAAGCATCAAAGAAAGACTGATTCTCCTTCAACTCTGCATTACATCCCAACTGGTCATTGCGCACCTCTCTACTTAAAATAATGGTCTCTGCTAAACCGCTAAGCTGGCTCCCGCCTGCTTACTCCACCTACTTTGCAAAAGGAGGCAAGATGCTCTTGTCCTGCTCATGTTGGATCCCATCTCCACCGTCTTTATATATCTGAAACTTTTCTGCCTATCCAATTCTCACTGCCTCAATCCTGCCCTTATCAGCTATACTTGTTGCAAGTATATGGTGACCCAAACCCAAATCCACCGGTGCCTATAAGAAATTACCATAAAATTTCTGGTGCACCTGCACCAGAAAGGAGCCTAGGAAGACCACACCCCTCGACCGAGCCCGCAAGCCTCCTCCACGGGCTCCAACCTTCTCTGGCACGCGAAGTCGGGCAAGACACGGGGTCCTGTACTTCTCATCCTTACAAATGCTGTTCAGCCTGGAATATCCTTTTGTCACGTTTCACCGGCGCAGACCCTATTTTCAAGTCCCACCTGTGGTCACCCTTCTCAAGTCGGAACTGATACCGCTGGGTATCCCTTCGTCCAGTCTGGATAATTTGTAAAAGTGACCAACAGCTCCACAAGACTCAAGCTAAGGACGGAACCCACTTCTTTTGCTCCCCTGCAATCGGACCCAGGGTCTCAGCAAATGTTTTTTGAATGAACCCAGAGCCTTGAAATAAAACCACTTCCCGAAAACTTCTTCATTTTCCTCATCTCTCTCTGCCTACTTGTGGCTATAGCGTGGGGTCAGCAGGAGTGAGAGAAGGTTAGAGAGGAAGGGGACATCCCCTACTGGGACAGAGGGCTTTCCTCCATGAGTCCCCACTCCCCTAGAGACTCAGACACTGAACCCGGCAGGAGTGGAGTTCAGAGACCTGGATGTGCCCACAAGCTCCAGGGCAAGGGTAGGAAGGAAATCCACTCTAGGGAAAGAAGGGTGACCTTTAGGCAGCTCACCGGAGTCCAAGTGGTCCGTGCACGCACCTTCGGGGACGGTGGGCTCCGACGAGGCGAGCTGCGGGAGGAGACAGAGTCAGTGAGAAAACAGACTTGCTTGTGGCTGCCGGACCCACTACCTGTGGCATCCCCTAGCCGAGTCGGACAGCACCCCGACACTTTGATGTCCGACTGAGTCCCAAGGGACCCACACTACACCTGCCTGGTGCCCAACTGCCTCTGCAGCAAGTGGGTGCCGGCCACCCTGGTACTCCACACAGTCCCGGACCGAAGGCACACCTCAGCGAGGTATGGGAGTACCCAGTCCCCGGTGCAATAGATACAACTTAAGGTCCGGAAATGCGCACATCCGAGCCCGACCCGTCAAATACCATGTAAGAGCCCCCAACCACGAGGGGGAACTAGACTACAACTCCCAGAAGGCTCCGCGGCTGGGTGCTTCCGGCCCCCCACCCCCACCCCCCACGATGCACTTCCGGCCACGGTGCAGAGCGGCTTGGACGGGCCAGACGTGGCACTGTGTCTTGATTGGAAGAAGCTTCCGTGGCACCCGTGGACCCTAAGGCTGTAGGTGAACGCACCCCCTCCCATGTTCTCCTCTAGACTGTCGTCCCTCTCGTGGCTCCCTCGTGGATCTGATCTGACCTTGGCCCTGCGCCATCTTGTGGAGTGAGCGATGGCTGCCCACCAAAGTCCGGCCAGGGACTAGTGCCAGGCCACACACCCACAGAATATTCAACCTCTCCTCAGTCCTCGTGACAACACCAAAATGGGTGTCCTGAGCTGCATCGCATGGATGAGGAATCGGAGGCAGCCTAAGTCCATAAGCACCCTGAAGGAATGCTTGAAAAAAGTGTCAGGTTTCAGGAGATCCTCCTGTAAAAACCATGGCCATAAGGTGATCCTGAAGTTAGGACCTAGGAGAGACTGGAGGTAGGAAGGGACTAGCCAGAGCGTGCGTGAAAATTACTCTGGCCGACTACAGCTGCAGTTGGCCCAGAAAACTCGGGGAAGTTCTTATTTACAGTAATCAGCCCACAAAGCACAGCTGCCCTCCCTTCTAATGACCCAGGAAACTAACTTTTATAACTTCTTATGTATGATTTTTGCAACCGTCAGCCCTGAACTACCAGGAGTTGAACAATAAGTGACAGCTTCCTTAAGGAACCAACCAGAGAAAGCCAAATATGGAGCTCTAACCAGCCACCATTTTTTTAACCCGTTTTTGAATATTTTAAAAGATTATTTCTACTGTTTGTATGGCCTACTTCTAATTAGCCTCCTCCAGCTTCCCTGGGCCAGTGCCTGTAATCAGAGCATACCTGAAGCTTTCCTTGTTTCCAACATAAAGCTTTCCTCCTGCCTTTGAGTCAGCCAAAACACTAGGTAGGACTCCCTTGCTGTGGCAAGCTCTGAAAAAATAGCCTTTGCCTGTTCTTCTTTGGGTGATCCTGGGTTATTTCCACAGATAAAATTAAGAGTATTGTTATGTAGATATTGTTATGGCCAGCTTATTAGCTACTACCTTTGTGCAGTTTTCCTATCATTTTCTATTAAAATTATTCAAGATTCTCATAGTAATGTAAAAGAAATTTGAAGTTTAAAATAATGCTTTTTTTGGCTTGTCTAGGTATACCTCTGAAATAATTAACTCTTAAATCTTTGGTGTTTCCTGTATTACACCCAACAGTGTCAATAAGTTAGAGTTCTTGTTTTACAATGTTACTAGGATTGATAAGAGATAGGTGTGAGTGATGGGAATGTGAGGTTAAGGACATAATTCTATAAAAAGGGACCATTTTGCTGACTCCCACATGCTTTCTTTTCCAAGAAGCAATTTACCTGCATCCCTGCCAGCTTAAGTGGACAGGATATGTCTGTCACATTCCTCAGCAAACTACCTGTTATTTGTAGGAGTACTGCAGGCCTGAAATGTCATTAAAAGGACCACAGGTTAGCCTGAAGAAGGATACTTTTGTGACACTAGATCCTGGAATTCGGGGAGATAAGGATAATTCTTCCTAACCATAAAATCTGTCAAGACTTTATGGTTAAGAATCCAACTAGAACCAGGGGACTTGAAAGCTTGAAGTTATCCTGCTGTCAGTCAAAATTCAAGTAGTAAACTTGTCAACTGTCTGTAAATGGAACTGGGATCCCCAATAAAACTGTCCCTCTCCTGAGAGGACCCACTCTCTCCCTTTAAAGGATCCCCTTTCCTTTTTCCAGACATGAGGCTTCATGTCTGTTACTCTAAGCAACAGGTCTGAAATCTTCTGACTTGATCTCAAGAACCAGGGTTCAGGGCTGGGGATGTGGCTCAAACGGTAGCGCGCTCGCCTAGCGTGCATGCGGCCCGGGTTTGATCCTCAGCACCACATACAAACGAAGATGTTGTGTCCGCCGAGAACTAAGAAAAAATAAATAAATGTAAAAAAAGAAAAAAAAAGAACCAGGGTTCAAAGGGGGACTTTTGTGCTGCCTCAATTTTCCAGAAGGGTTCAACCCTATAACAGCATTACCTGTAGAGCTTAAATAAATATGATTGTTTGGGGCTAAAATAAATATTCCTTATAATGTCATGTATCCCCGTGTGGTGGGACAATGAATGTCTTCACATCTCCATTATTTGGGGCTAAGATGGTTTTGTTTTTTTAACCTGGTGTGGGTCATTTTATACAATGGGGTAAAAATATCTCTCTTAGCCATTTGTGAGTTTACTAAGCTATTTTACCTCATTGGTTATATTAATTTTCTCTTCTTGGGGCTGGGGATGTGGCTCAAATGGTAGCGCACTCACCTGGCATCCTCGAGGCACTGGGTTCGATCCTCGGCATCACATAAAAAAATAAAAGGATAGTGTGTCCACTTAAAACTAAAAATAAATAAATATTTTAATTTTTTTTTCTCTTCTTTCTTTTCAGGGTACCAGTCAGTGTGGGATAAGATTCAGAGAGCCAAAGTTCCTAGATATTATCTGTTTGGAGAATGCTCATTTGTTTGGTCTAAATTGTTTGTGTTTTGATTTCCCTCTTGTTATAACTCCTTTATTTTCACACCACCTGAGGGTCTTCTGAGACATATACTAGGTGACTAGATGACTTACAAATATTATTCCATGACTAAGAAGAGGTCAGTGTGCTATTGTAACACAGCATGGCCTGCACATGTGTTAGACTCTGGTGATAGATGGTCTCTTAACAATTACTTAAATTATCATACAATTCTACATTTGGGGTCATTTTATAAAAGATCAAATAAATGGGATGGAATCCCTTACATACAAGCTTTTTTATGCTATTGTTTAATGAAAAGTCTAAGAAAGGATGAAATAAGTTGATAGCACAGAATGGAGGGGAAAACTTTATTCCCCTCCTGGACAAAGGAAAAAAACTCAGGATGAAAAGGAAAATGAAAAAAAATTAATATTTTGGATGTTCTAAGTCTACCCCCAGCTAGTGTAGACGCTATTGCACCATCAAAGAGGATAAAGGAGCCATTGGAGCTGGGTCTCCTCCATCATAAGCAAATAAGGCAAGACCAGTTTCTCTCTGTAAGACCCAACCAGGCACTCAGTTTGGCCAGGGAGCATCCTGGGAGCAAGACAATATTCCCTAAGTCAGTGTCTACTTGGAGGTGTAGATCAGGGTGGTCAGCCAAGAGGACTTTACTGGACTTATGGTCCATTCTCAATATCATATTTGCTAAACTGGAAAAGCTGTCATTTACCATAAAGAGAAGATCCACAGAAAAAGACCTTGTCTTTAAATAAAAAATTAAAAATAGGGCTGGGGATGTGGCTTAGTCGTTGAGTCCCGCTGACTGGTAGCTGTGCGTGGATGGATGTTCCTACTTTTGCTATACACTTTTCTACTTGGGCAGACATCTAAGCTCTTTTAAATATTCTGCTAACTACAGATGATAAAATGCTAATGATAGATAAGGAATGGCATCTCCATCAAGAAGATCCTATAAAGTCCCTTGCTCCTGCTGTTCCATTATTGAAAACTAATTGGAACCCAAATCATGTGGGAATGATGTGTCAATTAGATCCTTATAAGTGGTTCATCTTGGCAGAATTAAAGAAGGGGGTGCCTAAGCAGAGAATTTTGAACAGAATACAAGGAATCCAGTAAAAGGCAAATGAGGACCTTTCAGAATGCTTAGAATTTATCAAGCATAATGAAAGTGCATGGACACTGATCCAGAATCCCCAGAGAATATGAGGATGGTTAACATGACATAATAGGGCAAAATATCCTCAATATTCATAAAATAAAATTCAGGGGTTGGGGTTGGGGTTCAGTGGTAGAGAGCTTGCCTTGCAAGTGTGAGGCACTGGGTTCGATCCTCAGGACCACAAATAAATAAATAAAATTAAGGTTTTATATCCTTCTACAATTAAAAATAAATATTTTGGGGCTGAAGATGTGGCTCAAGCAGTAGCGTGCTTGCCTGGCATGGGTGCGGCCCAGGTTCGATCCTCAGCACCACATACAAACAAAAGATGTTGTGTCCGCCGAGAACTGAAAAACAAATATTAAAAAATAAATAAAATAAAATAAATATTTTTTAAAAAACACTTTAAACCAGGCACGGTGGGGCACACCTGTAATCCCAGCAGCTTGGGAGGTTGAGGCAGGAAGATCGTAAGCTCAAAGCAAGCCTCAGCAAAAGCAAGACACTAAGCAACTCAGTGAGACCCTGTCTCCAAATAAAATACAAAATAGGGTTAGGGATGTGGCTCAGTGGTCAAGTGCACCCTGGTACAAAAAAAAAAAAAAAAAACCACACATACACACACAAAAAAAACAAGACTTCAAAAGCTGAGAGGGATATAGGAATGAATCCATCCCAATTGGTGGATATTGCTTTTTAAATATATAATGTAAGAGAAACAGAAAAAGGATGAGCAGGCTACAGTTTTGTGGCACAATAGGAAGAGACATAAGAAAAGGAAGGAGAAATAGATCAGGTAAACATGGAAACGTGAACCTGTAGGAGGACATGTGTGCATATTGCAGGGAAGAGGGACACTGGAAACATGACTGTCTACAATTCAAGAAAGGGAAAGGGGGAAGAGAAGGAAAAGCACACAGAGATGATGAAACAGGACTGTGATTCAAATGAGGAATAAGGAGGCCCAAAGAGTCCCCTTAATCTCTGAGAGCCAATCAAGATTGCCCCACAGGAGCCCCAGGTAAATTTTTGACAATGGGGAGTCAAATTACAAAATTTTTCTTGGACACAGGCATTACCTTTCCTGTTATTAACACTAAGGTAATCTTGTGATAGACATGGTCCAGCAAAAGGATCATGTCTATCACAAGATTAAGAGAAGAAATGCAGAAAAACCCCTTAATTCAACTATGGAGTGTCAGTTTGGAGACTGAAAATTCAACATAGTTTCCTTTACACACCAAAGCACCCAATTCCATTTGAGATGCGACTTAACAAACTGGATGCTCAAATAACTTCATCTCTAAAAACACAATATTTTTATTCATAGAAATGAGCATAGATTTGTTCAGGACTTGAGAGCCTTCATGTTTCATTCAGAATGTTCATCCTGCTGTGCCAAATCCTTATACTTTACTTACTGTCATCCCCATGGATCATGGATGGTTTTCAGTATTGGACTTTAAATATGCTTTCTTTTGTATCCCCCTGGTGGAAAAAGTTCAATTACTATTTACTTTTGGATGGTGAGATCCATAGTTGAAAATCACCTTCCAACTGGGGATGTGGCTCAAGTGGTAGCGCGCTCGCCTGGCATGCGTGCGGCCCGGGTTTGATCCTCAGCACCACATACAAAGATGTTTGTGTCCGCCGAGGACTGGAGAATAAATATATTTTTAAAAAAATTCTCTCTCTCCCTCTCTCTCTTAAAAAAAAAAAAAGGAATGAGAAATAACACGTCCTGGCATGCATGCGGCCCGGGTTCAATCCTCAGCACCACATACAAACAAAAGATGTTGTGTCCGCCAAAAACTGAAAAATAAACATTAAAATTATCTATCTTTAAAAAAAAAAAGAAAGAAAATACCTTCCAATAGTACTGGACTGTATATTTCATCAGGGTTTCAAAAATTCTCCCACCATCTTTTGTAAGATTTTAGCCAACAACTTGAGAGTTCAGCAATTGGAAGAAGGGGGTCTTCCCTCATTATGTCAATAAATTGCTGATTTCAAGCCCCAGTTATGAAAAATCAGTCTAACACCAGTTTGGTACTACATCACCTGGCACACTGTAGATATAAAATGCCACCCCATAATGCTCAGATTTATAAGCAGAGAGTCAATTCCCTCAGGTTTCAATTAAAACAGGAAAACAGCCAGGTACAGTAGCACATGCCTGGAATCTGGGACACAAAGGAGATTGAGGCAGGAGGATCGTAAGTTCAAGGACAACAGAAGCAACTTAGGGCGGTCCTAAGCAACTTAGACCCTGCTTCAAAATTTAAAAAAAAAAAAAAAGAAATTTAAAGGGCTGGGGATGGGGCTCAATGGTAAAAGTGCCCCTGGGTTCAGTCTCTAGTGTCAAAAACAAAACACCAAAAGGGAAAACAGTCCAACTAGAAAGAAGTCATTATCAATATTCAAGCCCCTGTAACTGGGGACAACTGTGAGGGTTTCTAAGTTTGACAAGGTTCTGCTGAATTAGGGTTCCCAAGTTTGGACTCATAGTCAAACCTCTTTATGAAGTCCTAAAAGGGTTAGATTCAGAACCCTTATTTTGAACAGCTGAACATGTCGATGAGCATTTAACACTTTTAAAGAAAAATTGTCAGCACCATCCTTGGGGTTACCTAACCCTCAAAAGCCCTTCAAGTTGTTCATCCATGAAAAGCAGAACATAAGTCTCCTTCAGATTCTCAGAGAAACCACTCAGCCTATAGCTAATTTCTCTAAATAATTGGAACAGACAGCCAAAGGTTGGCCATCCTGCCTTCCAGCATTTGCATCCACTTGTGATATCTTAAAAAGGCAGAAGAGGTCACCTCAGCATAGTCATTTAGTGTCTGTGCCTTACCGAGCATAAACTTCATTAAGGAAAAAAGATTATTGGCAGGTCCAATGGACAAATATCAGGCTATTTTGCTGGACAATCCAAATATTGCCTTGCAAACCAACACAGCCTTAAATCCAGCCTCATAATGAAAACTGACTCTGATCTGGAAAGTTACTGCATAGAAATTCTCTGTGCAGTCTAATTGCCTCAGACTGAACTTGTCAGATCAACTGTTGGAGTTGGTGACTGGTAGCTATACATGGATGAAGCAGCTGCTGCTGAGCTGTGTGTGCTGTAGTGACACTAGACAAGGGTATAGATGCCCCTGCCGTCCAGCCAGCACCTCTACACAAAGGGCTGAACTGATCACACTCACTGGGGCTTTACAGCTGTCACAAGAGAAACAAGTAAATATCTATACTGATTTCAAATACCCTTTGATGATAGTGCATGCCCATGGAAATATTTGGAAAGAAAGATTATTAACTTCAGAAAACAAGGACATCAAACATCCTAGGGAAACACTGGCCCTATTTGAGGGAGTTGCTTTGCCTATTCTATTATACTCTGCCCAGGGCACCAAGAATAACACCCAAAGGAAACCAGTAAACTGACTGAGCTTCTAGACAAGCTGCTAGAGAAGCAGCTTACTGGGGATTTGATACCTCATTTAACTTGTCTAAATTCAAGCATCATTACACAGGATGGGGAATGAGCCCAAGGATAAGGTTTCAGCCAGGCATGGTGGTGCACATCTGTAATCCCAGAGGCTCAGGAGGCTGAAGCAGGAAGATCGCGAGTTCAAAGCCAGCCTCAGCAAAGGGGAGGTACTAAGCAGCTCAATGAGACCCTGTCTTTAAATAAAATTAAAAAATAGGGCTGGGGATGTGGCTTAGTCCTTGAATCCCACTGAGTTCAATCCCAGGTACCTCGCACCCCCAAAAAACCTATCATTAAGAATAGGGTTTCAGTGATACAAAGTGACAAAACTTTGTGAACATAGGATGATTTTACTCCCTGAAGCCCTGATGTATCCAATTTTTAAAGCACCTGGGTGTTGGCAGAGATGCACTGACAGATTTTATACTGCCTTACCTGAAAGACCATGCCTTCAAGAGACTCTTCAAAGGCTTCTACAAGGATTCCATTTGTATGCTTAAAAGAATCCCAAACTGAACAGAACCTACCTCAAATATTGGCAATAAAAAAGGTTTATAATATAATTGTACCTTTAAAGACTGACAAATAGGTTTTACCTGGATGCCAAAAAACAG